GTAATTGAATGTTCGTACAAGATTTCACTCTGAATTTTTATTTAAAAAGTTTACTTTTGTTTCACTACTAAATATTTATTTAGTAGTGAAAGTGTGTTTGCCTAAATTGATGAAAGAATCTTAATTAAATTTGGCACAGATGTAGAACATAATCTGGAAGAACTCATAAGATACTTACTTTTTTTTTAATTCGACTCGGATGTCGTTGTTGCCATTTTCTGGTCATTTACAGATATGAAATACATAATATTCCAATATAAAATAACATACACAAAAAAATAACAAATTCTTTTTATATTGAGTATCAGGACATTAAATATTATTACAAAAGGTTATGTTACTTTACAAATATCGTGTATCATCAAAGAGAAAATAATAATGCGATTTGCGATACCAAGATTTCCTTTACCAAACAACCGAAAACATTTTCAAAGAAAACCTAAACATCATGTGCAGAATATCTCACACACTTGTAAACGAAAGGAAAGTTTCTTAAATATAATACACACAATATATTACGAAAGACCACTTGTTAAAAACGATTTTCAGTTCCGTATCCCAAATGAATACATTCATAATAGCTTGAAATCGTTAAAAATGATATATGAAAAACAAGCTAGTCGAAATCCCTTAAACTCGTTATTTCGTTAAAAGTACACGTAACAAAGTGGGAGCGCGTAGCAAAACGATTCCGCAAATAAAACGACTCAAATCGTCTAAAAACATTTCTCGTTAAAATTTAACTTACGAGTAGAACAAATTAAACTGATCTTTATCGATTATTACATCCACGGGGAGTATTTTAAGTCACCAAAATGTGATGTTACCTACGATTTTTATATCAACAGCTTACACAGTCCACTACTAATAAGGCTTTCCAATTGTTTTTTCGCGTATTACATCTATCGACTTGCTACCACATAAGGTCATCAGTCTAACTGCCCATATATCACTGATTTAAAATTTAATAATTGAGAACGCGCGCTTTTGACTAAACTATCGTATAACTGTTTATAGTGTGTATAAATAATTTAGATTAGTTTGACAATACATTTCAAATATAGTAGGGATGGGTTGTGTATAATCAGTCATGTATCTTATCGATTTTCGATTTTTATTCTTATAGAAGTAGGAATCGATAGATTTATAGTTATACCTTATGAAATAAAAAAAAAAAAACTGTTTTCTCAAATTAATAATGACCATCACAAATAATAAGAGTAAATAAATGTCTATTACTACTACAGCCGTACGTAATCGAATTGGATTTCGCTATTATTTCTGTCATCGCTAAAATCTCTAATATAAATCTTCAATATACTCGTAATTGTCCTCTAAATTAGTGAATATGAAAATGGTAATTTTAGTTGAGTTTGATAATTATTTAAACCAAATAACGATAGTTCAAAATTGTTCGCTGTGTGTGTTTGTTTCGTCACTAAGATACCTGTCTATTAAGTATGGCCTTCATACAAATTGAATTCGATACTTCATATGCGTCATTTATCAAACTTATCTATCTTATTTAGACACACTACAGTCTCGCTTAGATTCCTATGAGCTTATAAGGAGCTGCACACACGACTCGATTTTAGTTGTGCAACTAAACTGTTGAACCGTACAACAGTTGTGCGATAGTTTACTCAAAGCCGTGTGCCTGCTCTAAGGTATATACCGTTGTCCTCTTTAGTCATGCATGTAGAAACTTAATCAAATCGAGCAACCATATCGTATTAATCGCAGACAGTAATCTCAGATTATAGAGTCGCATAAAACTTAGTTGTAGAAAGCAATTGCATGGACCACTCTAAAATGCACTTCGTCTTCATTAAAGGTAGCACTGTCGCTGTAATTAATCACCGCTAGCTCCATTAGTGACCGTGATTACGTTAAGTATCGGACGCTTTGATTACAGCCGGGCGAAACTTACGGACACGCCATCGCTTCAAATTAAAACCAACAATTTAGAACTTTGCAGCGCTATAATTATCTTCTACTAGATTACGCCCGCGACTCCGTTTGTGTGGAGTTAAAAAACAATAGCAAGTAGTCTATGTGTCCTTCTAAACTATCTTCTACTTCTATATCATTTCATCGAGATCCGTTCAGCCGTTTAGACTACAAACTCGAGTGAAAGTAATATTGCTGGCAATACTCAGATACCCTAAATTGTCACTAAAGCAGTTCCGTAAATTTTGTATGAGGATTCTATACTAAGCGATAGTTTAAGTAACCATTTGTATATAGTTTCACTCTTCTACTCAAGCCCAATATTGTAAAATCTTTAGGAAAAACGCGTAAATAGAGTACTGTAAGAAAATATTTAAAACCATATCATAGAAATGTTACAAAATATTCGTTTTTAATTTTAATAACGAAGCTAAAATGTCTCTTGGTAGGAATATTTTAAAAATAATTTCAAAGAAACTTGAAGAGGAAAATATTTGTTTTACAACGAATCAGTTTCTTGTTTGCACAGATTTAGGTCATCTGTTATGGCGCATTTATTATTTCGAAGCGGAAATAAGAAGGATCAGAAGTAAAGAGCTGCATTTTTATTGTATTCTCAAGAGAAATGATACAGTTTTAGATTTAATGAAGGGAAAAACAGAAATTGCAATTTCTTATCAAAATAATTATTCATCTCTGCTTCAATGGATTTTAAAGTACATTGTTTTGAAATATTCTTTTGCAAAAACTATGAAAATGTAACATAGATGAATAAACACACCTAGAGTTATTAACAATTATTTAATAAATCCCTTAATGTACATTATCCTTAGTAAACCTTATATTACCGAGTAAAGCTTTACGATTTACAAAGTCACCGTAAGTTAACTTAAAAATATATCTGTGAAAATGTTTCAAAATGAAAGATAGATTAAGCTAATTAAACTAAGTACCTATCCATGTGTTTCATCATTAAAAAGCTTTCGAAGTTGAAGCTCAAAGTTCCAGTATTTTATCTATAACATATTTGAGCCATAACTCTGCAGTTCGACGGAGCTTAAAACCGATTATGCAGGACTGAGTTCATTAAATGTAACAAATGGCGCTATCGGTTTTTAAAGCTTCGTACGTTGTTTTCATACAGTTAAATTCCGATAGCCAGTAACATGTGTCCGTGCGGGTTAACTAAAACTATTTTTACACTTTATAAATTGCATTACTTCTAACGTAGTTGAGATAGTTCGTCGGAAATATTAGTTGGCTTTTAGTAGGTTTCAAATACTCAACAGAAGTAAATGAAATCCATTTCACTATGACATAAATGTGAAATATATTAATAGAATAAAGCGTAAACTACTTTGTGGCGTAGGATGTCAGGAATCACAGCATATTTTTGAATAAATTATTCTTTAATAAAAAGTCCTACACTTCCGTCACGCTTTAGTCTATATGTTTTCACGTTATTAAACATAGGGTGTAATTATATTAAAAAAAACTTATCATCATGTGGGAAAAGGACCATAAACTACAAACTGCCAACATTATGGTAGCAAGGTTATCGATAATTTGACAAATGTAAACAATAAAAGAAGGTATTAATAATTACATGCGGATGAAGCCGTACGGGAACAGCTAGTAAAAATAAAACTAACTGTTTGGAAATTATTTCAACATCAATCGACTACGCACCTTTCGAGGGGAAGACCTTATTAAGGATGTTAAAGAAACAAATTAAAATATTTTAAATAGCGTAATTTCTTAATTCATATATATTTAAACCCCATATTTTCTACGTTCTGAATATCAGTTATCATTTAGGATACTAATTTTTAAATTTCAATTTTAAATTTATTTTTCTAAGAAAATCAATGACACAGAATGTTAGCATAATCAGTACGTAAGTGTACAGAGTACGTGTACATTGTATGGATTTTCCAAGAAACACGTTCGCATTCAGGAATCAAAGGTGAATCCATTGAAATTCCCTTTGTATTGTACACAATGTATGTACAAGCCGTGAATTCTTAACACAAGCACTAAACGTATTATAATAGAATATGATTTATTGTACGCCAGTACCTATTCTTTGTTATTTATACATATAATAAAATTGGAATGTCTGTATGTAATATCAAAAGAAAATTTTCAGATTTCGGGAAGATGATGTATTCGCGTTGCTGATAATTTAAAAAATGTTTGTCTGTATGTCTGTTTGTCTATCCGCAAGCTACGTTTGTTCCGGGTAATCTTCGAAACGGTTGGGCCGATTTCGACCAAACTTTTATTGGAGGGTAGTGGATATGGACGGGCATATTATAGGCTACTTTTATTAAGAATATTGCGTGGACGATGTCGCTAGCAAAAGCTAATATCATAAAAACATGAGAGTAACTACTAACAAAAAGCATTTTACACTTTTCTCTATGTTGACTTTGGAGATTTCAATATTTAAGGGCACCTTTTTCGATCGTTTACGGTAAATATTTCATTTTTATACATCATATAGGTTATTTACTAAAAAAAAATTATGCAATACAAAGTTGTTAAATTACATTACGTATTTTTATATTTACAAAACGATTTTTGTTTCCAATTTGTCTATTTAAGTGTTATATAAATTTGGGCAAGCAATTTATCGTCAGGAAATCGGTCTTTATCGGAAATTGCTTGTCCCTGCACTCTGTAATTTTCCACACGAATAATCTGCAACATTATAAACGAATTCTCTTCGATGCGGTCCTGTGATGACGGTTTAAATGTATGTAAACTTTGAAAACGTTTTTATAAAGGGTTCATTTGAATTTCACAAGCGATAATTTGCAATTTTCAATATCACACCCATCATAAAAACATATACAATTTAAAAAATAAAGCGCATAGAAGTTACCTGTTAAGTATATTATTATACATCATCATCACCAGCTCACTATATGTCCTCACTGAGGGGCTCGGGAGCCTTATCTAAGAGGGTGTGACGAGGCCTTAGTCAACCACGCGGGTTGGTTGAATTCACACATATCCAAGCAAACATTAAAAACTGCTTAACTCACCTTTTCATCCTCCGGTGACGGCTCAAACAATTTAATTCACACAATTCTCTGAATTTCTATTCCGATATGTGCAGCTTGCATCACGACGTTTTTCTTCGACGTAAGAACGTCGGGTAAATTAGGGACATAGGAACTCCGAAAAATCGAAAATCATATTGGTCCATAGCAGGATTAACCCAGGACCTGTGAATGATAAATCAAGTGCTCAAAGCCCTGAGCCACTGACGTTTTATATTTTCATTCATCTATACGTATTTTTGTATACCTATATGTGTTTCTATTTGCAGATAGGAAATGGTCATAAAACGGTTCACTCTGGGAGATGTACTGAATCGCGTGCTGCAATAAAAAGACCATTCAACGAAACAGATTTTGTACAAGCGGATTCATTTCATTGCATCCACAATCTGCTATGTTCTTATTTTGTTTCAGTTTCAAACGATTATTTTATCATTTAACAACACATTTAATACACTTTTTTGCAAACTTGTATAATAAAAAAAATAAAAAAAACTTTTTATACTGTTCACTGCAATTTGTCTTAAATAAGAATTATAATTTGCAATTTACAGAATACATAAGTATAAAACCTTTCTAATGAAAATGCTTTATAGACGTCGCCAGCCAATCTAGCTAGGTCTATGGGGTGAAGCTTCCGTTAATATTGTATTATTTAAAGTAAATTTTGTCTAGTTTTAGATTCTTCGATTTACTATCAAAATTAAAAAAAAATCAGAATTATAAGAGGAATTTCCCAATCATATTTTTCGGTATAAGGTAAATATTAAATCAATCTTTCTCTTTTTATCGCGTGCTATTTTCATATTAATGAGTATGAAATATGAATTTTCAAAGCGTTATTAGTAATTATGAAAAAGCAACTGCTTCCGCTAGTAACAGTTTCACTCGAAGTGCCGTGACCGGTTAAATCACGTTATTTCTTAGTAAATCACAAATATAGTAACAAAAGCAGTAAACAGCTTACAGTTGAAACTTGTACTTAGAAGTATTCGAAACTTGTCGCCGCATTATGTTGTTTTAAGTGTAGTTTAAATGTACAAATTAAAGTTTTCACCATGTTCATATACGTATTTGTGTGTTATTTTTAGTTTAATTTTAACAATAAATTAAAGCCATTCTAGAGAAATAAATGAAGTAGTGTAATCTTATAAACAACTTTTTGCCCGCGTGGAATTATTAAAACAAAAGTAACCTATGTTTTCTTCCAGACTATTCTCTACGTATATCCAAATTTCGAGATACGTTCAGCCGTTTAGGCTACAAAGTCTAACATCCATCGATTTATCTAAACCGCATTTATAATATTAGTAAGATGTAAAATTGTAAATGGATGGATGTTTATTAGAAGTATCCAGAACGGTTAAACGGATCTCGATAAAATTTGACACTGCTATAGTCAAAGTCCGGAGGAACACAAAGTCTACTATTGGTTTTTTTATACCGTAATGACGGAGTCACAGGCAAAAGATTGTTCGCAAAATATATCATTCTTAATTCATATTAACAACGAAGGTGTCTAATATTGAAGTTATCAAGGTTTCCTTTACTGCAAAGGCTACCGCGTCAAAGTTGTGGCCTCGAACTTGAACCGTGTAAATAATTTACCAACTTCCAAACTCATGGCAGCGACTTATTTGATGTCGGGCAAGACATTACCCTACTCAATTACTGTAGCGTTTATAAGGTAAAGTAACTTTCCCCTTACCTGCTTAGTGTCCACTGCTGAAATCCAAAGACGGAAACATTTATTTTCTATGTTTTTAAAGAATATGAATCACATTTGTGTACTGTCTTGTTAGTGGAAAGTTAGTAGTGTAATATTAGATTTTCCTAAAATCCTAACCTAACTAAAGCAAAAATAATCAAAAAGCAAATACACATAACAAAAAAGGTTTGCAATCAATACGCTAGTAACTGAATAGTTTATATTGTTTCAAATATATTATAAAAGGACAAAATCTTTTACATAATATAGACGCTTTATTTTTTTACAAACATATCGACTTTTTGACCGACTTCTGAAAAGACACGAGGTACTGAATTTGTCTGTATGTTTTTTTTTTTTTGTTAGTGATCTCAAAACTTTTTTGCTATGTGTACTTTATACCGTACTCTCAAGATATCTGGCCGGATAATTAAATCCGCCATTGTTTCGTTCACTTCCTTCAAATAACAATCCTTTAATGCGAAAGGACCTTTCATCTTTGTGCTTTCTTTGGCAATTCCTGGTCGTTTTGTGAAACGTTGAAGAATTGAAAATGATTCTTTTTCACTTTTTTTCGCTCCAACGACTGTTACTTCAGTTTTTATTAATTGGAACACTCTATTTAATTAAATGTAAATTTCTTACCTTAAATTCGAATTTTATCAGAATAACTGAAATTTGCAGTCTACTTTATAAGTGTTAACATCCACACTCGGAGTTATTAAGTGGTTACTAAGGGTGCCTCTTTAAGTAGTTTGCGTACCAATATAGTACAGTCCTTTAGTATATTTAAAGTCCCTGAGTACAGCAGTTTTAACTCCGTTGTTACCCTGTAAAGAATGTTGTTGTATTAGATATTTTCGGACTCTGGTATTTTTCTCCTATATAAAAAGTCTCATTAAAGAATTCTTTGAATATTTGAAAGAAAATAAGGAAGTATCATCGTATAATTATGAAGCGTTAAACTTTTCTTTGATATAAAATTATTCAGAATAAGTAAATAATAACACGTGAGATGAAAAAAAATACTGAAAAAAACACATTATAATTATTTAATACTGTTTATAATTTTCATACACATACTAAATTAACGTATCACACTGGAACAGTAACTATTTCCGGGATACAAATTAGCCTCTGTGTTCTCTCAGACTATGTTCTACATCTGTGCCAAATTTCATGGAGATCCGTTCAGCCGTTTAGGCTACAAACTCTAACAAACATCCATCCATCCAACTTTCGCATTTATTACATTGGTATGATTTTAATGGGAAAAAAGAGGAAAAAAACAATACAATTACTCTTTTAGTTATTTATCAACTTTAATGTCTATTCAAAGAGCTATTTACTAATGCATAAATATGAAATAAATGTTGCGTGAAAGTTGAAAAAACTTTCCTGACCTGGGAATTGGACCTGGGATTTTAGTAAGTTGCTGTATCGTCGGCATTTGTTTTACTTGTAGTTTCTATATACCGACGCTGAGTACGTATGTGATCGGCACTAAATGACCAATAGAAACAAGTTTTAGACCAAACTCGCTGTAAAATTGAACGCAACGCTAATTGAATAAGCTAATGAAGTCTTACACAAAGTTTAATGAGGAAGTCGACTCCACGGTTTCGTAGTTAGAAACTAATTTCCACTTTGTCATTATGAATAATCGATTGTTCTGTGTTATTAGATTTTAAATTTTAAAACATATACGTGGAAATGATGGCAAAAATTTTTTTTTTTTCTTTTTGGTATAGCAAGATAAATAGGCGTTGTTGGAAACATATGATTTATTCTACTAATTAAAGACCATTTACGATGACAATTTTTATAAATGTTACAGCAGTGAAAGCCCACGGTTATTCTAATTGTTATGTAATAACAAGACTAACAAAGAACATTAACACATTAAGGTGACTTAACTGTTTTACGTATATTAAATGAACTGAAAGAAGCGTTTTTGTAATGAATCTCACGAAACCACATTTTTAATGCATCTCGCATTTTGAAACAGTAAAAATATGACCCTATAAAAGACGTCTTTTGACTATGTTGTTTTAATCACATTAAGAAAGTCCTCACAAAGAGATAGCTCTTAAGAAATTGCACATATGCTTTTAAAGAAATTCTACTCTTAGTTGAACACGGCACTGGACTAGAAATCAGGGAATGTGACTCTTTCTCAGCCAAATAGATTATAAACTAACGTTGGTTTAGATTACAATTGAGTTCGAATTAAAATGATTTGACTAGCTTTCTCCTGTGACATCATCCGCAGAAAAAGAAAAAATAGTAAGTAGCCTATGAGTTCTTTCAGAGTATTTTTTACATCTATATCAAGATCCGATCAGCAGTTTAGGCGGCAAACTCTTACAAATATCTATCCAACTAAACTTTCACTCTAATATTAGTAAGATATCTCTTTATATCGTAAAAATGTTCTCACGACCGAATAAAGCATTCGATACGACGATCAATTTGTACGTTGTTAACGAACAATGGTACCTAATATGTCTCTTTCGACGTCGGTTTGCAATGAAATAAAAATTTGGCGAAGCAATTTGTCCCCACAACGCCCTCCTTTGTAGGAAACTTACTACAGCATCAAACTAAAGCTTTTATAGATTTAAAAATGTTGATACGACTTTTCTGAGTATTCCAAAATGGGTTTCCTTCTTGTCACTGTAAAATTGTAATTCTAGTTAACTAGCTTTCGCCCGCGACTCCATCCGCGTGGTAAAAAAAAACAAAACCAAGTATCCTACGTGTTCTTCCAGACTATCCCCTACATGTTTGCCAAATTTCATTGAGATCCGTTCAGCATTTTAGGCTGCAAACTCTAACAAACATCCATCCATGTAAACTTTCACATACATAATATAATATTAGTATGAAGTATGATTTATTTGATTATGATCTCGTGTAATTGTCAACATTGAAAAGCGGTTAAAAATTTAACGTATTTTCTCTCTATAAAATTTAATTTAGTCAAATCGTCATATAAACAGATTCAAAACACATCTGCAACATCGTAAATCTGTAATTTTCTTTCAAAGTAAAAAGTTTTTCAAACTTGAATGGTTATTAGGTTTTTTACAATTCAAATTCTTATTGCAATGTATATTGTAGAAGGAAATGAGAATCTGAGATAATTGGATATGACAAGAATTTTGGGGAAAAATGTTTCGAAAAAATGCGTACAATGATATTTAGCATTTGTATTAATATTAAAAACTAGCTTTTCCCATGCGACTTCATCTGTACAAAATTATAAAAAAACCATTTTATTGTTTACATTTGTCAAATTATCAATTACAAATGTCGAAATGACATGACATGATGTCAAACCATGGCAACCTTGATTCCTTGATGTTGGCAGCAAATTATGGTCTCTTCTTCATTAGGGTTTTTACCCAAAATATTTACCCATAAGTCCAATGGCGTGAAAATATGCAGTCTAAAGCGTAAGTACTTTTACTATTAAGTATTTACTTTTTATTAAAAAAAAATAGTTATTCAAAAATATGCTGCAATTGCTGACATCTTAGTTATTATAATAGTATACAAATAGAAGTATAGATTAAGTTTTATGTAAATCCAAAATGCAAATTTTAATATCTGAGAATTTTCGAGAGTTTCTGCCCTCTGAAAGTACTAGAGTAAATGGGTATTAGAATACAGCATAATAGAAAAAACATAAAAGCTTACAACACAAAAGGCTTAGTAGAAGTAATCCTACGTTGTATAGAATCTTAATGTTATAAGTGAAGAATATCCGTACATTGTGTTCGATACAAAAGAAAATTTAACATACTATAAACTAACATAAATAAAAAAACATCCTTTTATATATTTGTCGGTGACGAGCGGTTTGCAGAATTAATTCCGAAAAGCTGATCATATACACGGTAACTAACCTCTATCGCGTGTGTATATCGGAGATAATGAAAAAATAATCGCGTAATATTAGAAACACCATCCTTAGTTGACCATCATCTTTAATTAAAACTGCATAACCCAACCTTAACGCGATTATATAATTGATTTTAAAAGAACAAAGCACATTATTCCACCGTTCAATGACAACTGTCATCAATCATTCTATCGTCGTCTTGACATCAATCATGCACGATGCACATTCACCCAGTACTCAAAATTGTTAATGGCCAGTAAGTTTCATAGTGCATTTACTTTTTTATAAAAATATACAATAACCATGTGTTGCTAGATATTTTACCCACTTCTTTGTTGCCTAAGATATCAGCAATTACAGCATATTTTTGAATAATTCGTTTTTTTAATAAAAAGCCCTACACTTACATTGCGCTTTAGGCTATATATTTTCACGTCATTAAACTTAGGGGGTAAATATTTTGGCCAAAAACCCTAATGTGTGAAAGAGACCATAAGTTGCTGCCAACATCAAGAAAGAAACATTGCTAAGGTTTGTCATGTCATGTCATTTTGACATTTGCTATTAATAATTTGACAAATGTGAATAATAAAATAAAATTTTCATAATTTACAGCTAACCTGGCTAACAATTGAACCTAATATCAAAACGTAAAATTCAACTACTGAAGCATCTATATGTTAACATGTTTTAATCAGTTCATTGCCAACATTTGAATATTGCTAAACCCACGCTTTTTCGTCTCTTTCCAATTTCTATCTTGTCTAAAAAAATTCTTGATTATCTATTCGAAAATTTTTTATCTTTTGTATTAAATTAAACTTGTAATTTACAAAAATGGCTAAACATCGCAAACGATTATGTAAATAGCAAGTTCATTGTATAACAGGTGAACTTACATTGGGCCAAGGGAAAACATTGTAGATTTTAATAAGATTAAAAGATTTCAGAACGAAGAAAGGAAGTCTTTTACCATACTTTTAATAAACATTTTGCTTAAATGGAGCGTCGGTGGCTCAGTGGTTTAAGCACTTGACTTGTAATCTACAGGTCTTGGGTTCGAATCCCGCCATGTACCAATATGATTTTCGATTTTTCGAATTTTCATATGTACATAATTTACCCGACGTTCTTACAGTGAAGGAAAACATCGTGATGCAACCTGCACATATCGGCGAAGAAATTGAAAGATATGTGTGAAGTCAACCAACCCGCAGTTGGCCAGCGTGGTTGACTATGGCCTAGTCACCCTTACTTAGGGTAGGCTCCAAGCCCCTCGGTGGGGACGTATAGTGAGCTGTGGTAATACGCTTAAATATTAATGCTTTATTGTGATACTAATTTTGATACATTTTATGGACTTGATTCCTGAACTAGGTTATCCTATATTGCGGGAGCCAATAATTCTCTTAATTTGATAAGGTTTTTTTTAAATCGTCTTTAGTTTGTGTGTTTAAATCTAAAGAGGTTTAATTCGATATCATTTACTTATGAATAAAAGAAAATGGTTAAACCGATAGTTAAAGACATTTCCTTGCGTGTATAGATACTATCAAAGCTAAAATCATTTTAAAAGACCCGCCTGATTGCAGAACATTCATTCAATTAGTACGCGCGAACTGTTCATTACGGCTATTATTTTAAAAGTCTTATAACCAAAATACGTTGAGCTCCGATAACTGCCATGACGGTTTACACGTAGAGAATAAATATTAACTATGCAGGTCATTCAAGCTGGTTGTTATTTAAAATTGTCGATGTTTACAAGCCGTGAATTAATTATTTATGTGTTGGTGTTAATTTATTTTTGAATTGCATATAATTTTTATGGTAAGCCACAAGAAAGTCGTTTGCTTTTTTAAATAAACTATTGAATTTTGTATCATAAGGTATAAATAAAAGTGATTATATATGATAAATAAAGTTATCATGGTTTGTTGTTTCTTGCATTTTTATAAAAAAATGTATAATATATTTGTACATAAAAATGTAATGTAAAAATGTACATGTATTTTATACATAAAAATGCAAAATGCTGACTCTTGAACATGAAATAAATAAAACTTTATTTAATTGTTTATATTTGTCAAATTCTCAATTGCATATGTTACTTACCGTTACCATAATAACCTCGCTTCCTTAATGCCAGCTTGTAGTTTATGGTTCCTTTCTTATATGAAGGTTTTATTTTCAATTTATCGTAAGTGTGGGGCTTTTTATTAAAGAAATTCTTATTCAAAAATACGCTGTGATTGCTGATATCCTACGCCACAGAGTGTATGTTTATGCTTTATTATATTAGTATCGAAGTATAGATAGAATACATTTTTAAGTTTTTTATAGCTATTGGGTGTCAAAAGGTTACGCATATCAACTAACCGAGTGTCATAATATATCAAAAAGTGATACAAACTTCTTCAGTAATTGGACTTAAATGGGGTCAAACTTTTCGCATATCAGTGAAACTAGAAATTTATGTGCGACCACTTACGGCAAGTTAGTAATAGCTTTCTGTTAAATTTGTTTCTGCGCAAATTGAAACTTTTAGATTCTAATTTATGAGGCTATTTTCGTTATTTTTATTATACAAAACTGTCAAAGAATAAGAAACTTTAAGTGAGAACTTGCATTAAAACGGAATAATAAATTAATAAATTGCAATTTGACGCTTCTTTAGTCGATTCTAAGGATGAAGTCTTCATATAAATATACTAGCTTTCGACTTCGTCCACGTGGAACTGAAAAAACAAAAATAGCCTATGTGTTCTTCCAGACTACCTTCTGTGTGTATGCCAAATTATATCGAGATCCGGTTAGCTGTTTTATCAACATCCATCCCTCTATTTCGCATTCATAATATTAGTAAGATATAATAATAACACTAATTAAGAATGGCTTATCTCACGTATGATATTCCAGCGACTGTATCAACTACTTTTCTAGTTCTAAGACTAGTTAAGACGTTTACTACGGCAGGTAAATAATTCTTCATCTGGTGCGGCGGCGGACCAAAATGCGCCTCCAATGATGTTTCCGCCAGTGCGTGGCAGGCCTTTCTAGACCCGCCAGCACTAGAACATATTAAAGTGCTGTAATGTATACACCTGAAATAATCGTTTCGCGCTAGCGAGAGGGACATAGTTTTCTTCGTCCGTACCAGATTAAGTACCACGTCAGGCCGATATCGACCTGTTATGCAGTGAACGTGTTAACGAGCCTCGAAGGGTCCCAAAATAATCGGTACTGTGACTGGACCATATGTGAATTAATGATTTCTTACAAAATTAATTAAAAGAATATGAAAAACTGTCTAATAGGAACTAACCTATCAACATTGGAAGATGTAAACTTAGTTCAGTTATCAACTGCGCGGACGCCGTTATGAGAGCAATTCGCTTTAGGCGTACAGACTATCAGTATAACAGCAGCTATAGTGCAAGTAGGACGTTGTCTGTGCTGTATTGAATGTTGTGCTTTTCATTCAGTTTGATTACAGACTGTGACGTTATTGTTCAGTGATGGCATTGAAATGTATAGTGGCTTTAGGCTTGTTGGCGCTGTTTTTAGGTAAATTCTTTTGTTTTAGTCTGAATGGAAATCGTTTTAACATGTAATTAAATTGTTGGGCTTTGTTTTTGGGCAATTGGCGTGCAATTATTAAAGGTTTGAATATTGAATATTTGACTTTTTTAATACTTAAAACTTTGTTGAATAACTTCTGTAATACAACTATCTGAGCCCTGGTTTTACTTATTGCACACTAAGATATTAGAAATGGAAATAAGTCAAATTATGACCGCGAGTTTTGATTGTCGAAATACATGTGTAAAAATTTTGTCATGTCATGGGATAGCGATATATTCTTGTATAGTTTGTTAGTAGAAATCTATAGTCGAATTTTTTCATTGAAAATTAGAAATTATGTTTACATTTCACTGGCTGACTATTGTCTATGGATTTATTTTGCAAAAGTTTTTAAATTTAAACGGACATGTCTGTTTTTAATAAGTCTATGATGACGTTACATAGGTTTATTAATATTTTATTATATTATTTTAATCGAATTTAAATCTACAGCGAGATTTGCACGTTCTCCGTTCTAATAAACATTCATATATCATACATCATCTTGCATATTTAGTTTTCTTTCATAAATTCATAATAATACCGAAACGCCGTAAGCGTAGGTTTTTAATTATTATTGTATAAAAATATTTTTCCTGCTGCTTTCGATGCCCACGATACAGGCATTGCCTAGTGTGGGCATCATTAGATCAATCACATTTTATCCACTATTTCTATTTATCTTTTAATTGGTTATAACTTTTATTGTTAATTGTTAATCTGTTATTTTTTAATAAATTTCAATTTCAATTTCAACGCAATATATGTTTATAGGGTAATAAATATAAACATCTTAGAAATACAATGAATTTTTTTTCTAAAAATAGGAGATTAGATTCTCCCTTAACCTACAATTTTTTGTATCATGTATACAGAACCATTCTCCGGATATTAAAGACTTAGTTACCCTCCAGTCTTGCGTTTCTCACAGCAAAATAGACTTGCAGATGTTGTTAATCATAACCAATTGGTAGCAATTAGTTAATGGTGCAAACGGTACTTATATAAGGGACGCCATAACTTTGCTTATTGTTTTGAAGAGGACATTAAAACGTTGAATTGCTTTAATAAAATAAACGAATCTTTTGATCCTTGACGACCTATTAAGAGCAGAAAATGTTTTTTTTTTGTTATTTACGGTACATAGATTGATAAATTTTGTTTTGTAAATTTAAATTCATTAGACTTCTAATTCGTCTTTTATCATATTACTACAAGATTTTGAAACACAAATAGTTTATTGGGATAATTTACTCGCGAATTACAGGTTGTAATTTTGACAGTGGTAGAGCTCGCTTCTTCATCTTCGCACGGGGCGTGAAGTGGGAGCATTTCCGCGTTTTGTCTAATAAGTGTGGTGCCGGAGGCCCAACTTTAATCCCTTTTCTTTCCCGCCCTTTTTCTCGTAAGAAAGGAATAGGAAGGGAACGTGGACTTGACGCCGGAGGAGACGCATAGGAAGGGAAAACATCCTCTTCGTGTGCGTTTCCTCCTCCGTCGATTAAGTGTAGGCAACGAATTCGCTATTGCGAATGTCTATGGGCAGCGGTCACTTTACCGTGTTGGCGAATTCAGGTGGTTGCTCGCTCGTTTGCCACCCTATAATGTATAAAAAATATGCCTAATTTCATAAGAAAATCAAGTAGAAATTTTGAAACGAATTTACAATTTAAATAAATACTATTATGAAAAACGATATACGGATCTAGGTATTCCTTACGTTGAAATAGGAACGTTTCGTTCATATAGTAACATACTTGGAATACCTAAATAGGAAGAGGACAATCTCATCACGGACATTAGGGACTTCCGGACACAATTTGTAAATTAAACAATATTGCTTAATTAAATATGCATTTTCATGTGTTTGTGTTCACCTGAAGTGTATGTAAAATGTATAATTTTTTTATGTTCGTAGAGCTAACACTACTATGCTTTTAAATACTACGCTGGAAATACAATAAAACATGATAAGAACTTAAATAAACTTAGATATTATAACACCTAACTATATGTAAGTACTGAAAGCCGGAAATATATACAGTAATGTTCAAAGAAGTTGAATATTACTTGACTGTATCTCTTTGTGCATGATAAAAATATTAATTCAAATGATTGCTTCTAATCAATTGCATTTCATCTTAATTTATACTAGTAGAGGAAGGTTCATTGCCATCCTGCATGCGGGATCGTATTACCATGTCAGTTGCACATCGGTAATTGCTCTTTATTCTCTTAATTATAACGACAAGAGTATAAATGTATACCGTTTACTCTTTGAGACTGGTCTCAAAATCAAAGAGTAAATGGGTAATGAAGATTTAAAGTATTCGCATCCCTTTTATTGGTATTTAAAAAACTGAAACAGCAACATATCTTTTGGCATTTAGGTAGTGGAAGCTTTATGTAATAGATAAAAATAGCACAAAACGAAGTTCTAAAATCACTAGGAACCATCATCCAGTTTGTACGTATATTTTAACAGATTACTTTATCTGGATCTCTTATTTTAACGCTGTCACTTCTACACTAACATTGTACTATTGGCTGTATTACTAATGGCCAGCTCATCTATCACTCGCGTGAATATGTTTTAAAATAAATTAGCTGTCAACACAGCAATTGTACAGTCATATTTCTTCCGCCCCTCATGATCTCTGCTATCACAAGGCGACGTCCTAAATATGCTACATTAAAGTATTAAGGCGCGCACGACCGTCCAATTGAGCATATTAACTGTCCTCTTGAGTCTTGAGCATCAAGCGATATGAGTGTAGCGTGACTACTTTATTTCCAACGCTAATGTTACGGATTAAATTCATTAGAACATATTCCGCACATTTATCAGATTCAAAAACCTGAGTGTATTTTGTTCAAATGTTTGCTAAATAAGATTTAAACTATTGGTGATTTTTAAAACTACTAGAGCATGTCCGACTAAATTGTAAAATGTCTGATAACAATCCAAGTAAAATATATGATGGAAATATCTGATTTTGTAACCAATGAAAATGGCGTCATTTTTAAACTATCTGACCCTCTAACAGCCAGTGGTGGGACAAGCCTTTATATAGTTTTTTAAAGCCTTCAGTATTTTTTAAGCAACCTGTATAACTCGAATACTAAAGCTTGAAAACAGATATCGTTATTTTAGAATTGATTTGCATACTAAACAAGCCTAATGAAAGTGTTTTATTATCATCACGGTAATAAACGTATGACTCGCTCGTGTTTACGATTTATTGCGTACTCAAACAATTGTGTTGAGATGGGGCTCGAATAGACTTATTAGAGTGATCAAAATGGAGTCGTTAAGTTACAGTGAAATTAAACGAGATATGAAAGTACATGTCCCTTTCAAATATTTGGTAATATTCTTAATTAAGAAAATACAATTTATTAAGTGTGAATCATGATTTATCTTACTAATATTATAAATGCGAAAGTTTAGATGGATGGATGTTTGTTAGCATTTGTAGCCTAAACGGCTAAACAGATCTCTATGAAATTTGGCACAGGTTTAGAGCATAGTCTGGAAGAACACATAGGGTACTTTTTATTCCGGGAAATAGTTACGGTTCCTGTGGGATTCATTAATTTAGTTTTTTAATGTTTACTCGATCATTCTGCAACGGTTCAACGTATCCTTTTGAAATTTGGCTAAAACAATGTCTGGAGTACACATGGGATGAGGTTCATCCCCGAGAAATGTCCGGTTCCCGAGGGATACGTAGCTTTTTGTTATTTATATAGTTCTTATGTTTTCTAATACCACGCGGATGAAATCGCGGGCAATATCTCGAATGTTTAAAATTTCAAATCCAGACATTTTAAATATTATATTTTTAACTTTCGGTAATTTTCAAGTTATTGATATCAAATTAATAAAGTTTTGATTTTAATTTGTAAGTTTGAATTACGTATACCTAAGTACTACGAAATTTGTAGTAAGTTTTGGCTTTGTTAGTAGGCGTTTGCTATTAATAGTCCTCCAAATCATTGAGTTATTTCGGGCCACGTTTCAATAAGTTGTTTTCATTAAGGTGATCTCAATTAGATATAAATAGCCAAATATTATTTATTAAAACAAATTTAGATTATTATTGTAACTTTACGTGTTTCTTTTTTATCTAATTTGTATTTTTGCACGAGTTTTCTGAGTATTTTTTGTGAAAGTTGTATATCCCACATCTTAAGAATGCGAAAGTTTGGATGGATGGATGATTATCATAATTTATAGCCTAAACTGTTAAATGTAGAGGATAACTTGGAACGGAATACGAAGACGGAGTCGCTGGCAAAAGATAGTACATAAAAAGTAGTTTATTATTGGTTCCGCTGTCGTTAAAGTTGGTGCAGTTCACTAAAATGACAAGGAATATCTTTTTTGCGTACAAAAAGGTCCTACGTATGTTATTCTTTCATTTAATGTAGTCGCAATGCAGTCGTTGTTTACACTACTTTATGACTTTATTTAAGTTAGTAAATTGGTTCGCGTGGTCACGAGTGGATTAAACAATTAATTATGTAAATGCGAAGGTATGAACAACAGTTTATAAGCATGGGTCACGCACGGTCGACTGCAGTGGAAACGAACCTTAACGTGGGTGTGTTGTCACATTAATTAAATAGGAATAACACTAAACTATGTGGAAAAGCAACACCATTCAGCTACATATTAAACAAGCAAATGCTTATATAATTTAACATGAATTAACTGTAGCGACAGAAAACGTTGTAATATTAGCTGCTAGTTGTTTATTTTAGCACATTTTAACTAACCCGTATTAAAGTAAATCAGATGCAAATAAATGTAGGTTAATAAAATCTATATTTTCTGCAAGAATTCTGCACTCTCCGTCCTTATCCTAATCACGTAATTTCAGCGCACCAATCTTCTATCATCCAAGTCACTCCCTTCTTGATCATGTCACCTTTAGGTAATCCATCTCTTTCTCCTCTACCGGTGTACACATACCCTTATAACTAAAGAAGAAATCTATACTAATATAATGAAACGTAAACACACACTACTTGATGGCGTAAGATGTCAGCAATCACAGCATATTTTTGAATAATTCTTTTTTTAATAAAAAGCCCTATACTTACGTCACGCTTAAGGCTATTTCTTTTCACGTTATTAAACTTAGAGGGTAAATAAATTGGATAAAACCCCTAGTGTGGGAAAGGGACCATAAGCTACAAGCTGCCAACATCAAGAAAGTAAAATTGCCATGGTTTGTCATCATGTCATGTCATTTTGACATTAGCAATTGATGATTTGACAAATGCACAAATAAAATATTTTATTTTTATAAATTCGTGCGGATGAAGCCGCACGGGAACAGCTAGTGTGTTTAGAAAACCGTAGTGTTATCTTTTCAGAAGTAGCAACAGAAGGAATTCATTTGAATATAACTAGCGCTTGGAAGCCAGACTTCGGTTGGGAAGTGACTTGTATGTGGGAGACACCGCCCAATGATACACTACAGTCGGTGCGATTGCAGAATAATGGACAGCAGTTCATGATCTACAGACCTGAGGTGAATTTTATTTGTAACTGGAAACATATGCTGTCCTATCCTTCACTTTTGTAAAGCTCTTGGAGGTCCTAGCAATATAATTTGCAATTCCGTAAACTGGTTAATGAAAATATTATGTTAAAAATGCTTTTTTATAACCACGGTACTTTAATAATTCTAGTTTTGATTAAGCCGATAATACCCGATAAATGCCGGGTTTCTGAAGTTTTATACTTACCTAGTGATTCAATAGTGTTAGATTGACTATGTTTTAAGGGAGTAAACCTTATTTTATCGAACCGAAAACACTAACGAATGGTTAAACCTAGCTGAGAAATCGCCCATGTTTCCTTTATTTTAAACAGATACACGGTGCATCTAGAGTGGAAGCATTTAGAACACCAGAGAACGTGATGAGCGTCGATTGTACGTTAACCGCGACAAAGGGACGCAAAGGACGATGTGTTCTCACTATCGAGCCTTACCAGCCGCCCACGAACGATTTCACGTACACGTGTGAAGTATCCGGAGAGCGGCCTACATTCATGATTGAGAGAATGGACTATGTAGTTAAAACCATAGGTGAGGAATGTTTAAACACATATTTTTTTGATGAAAATGTTAGTATATTTTTGTTAATTTACTAATATTTCCTTTAACCATTCCAACTAAGCTCTAGGCTTGTTCTAGGTTATGGTTTACAATAGTCGAATGGCGGGATTCGAAACGTCGGCCTCAAGATCGGTAGTCCGTACCCCAAACCATTAGGCTGTTGGCGCTTGATATATATCTTGCCTACCATTTTCTATATATTCTTGCAATTTTTTTTAATAAGCTGCGTTTCATACTGGACATTTGTATATTTCCTGTTTTGTGTGAATAATTATATCTCAATAGTTACCTTTACTGAGAATAATACTATCATTATCTTACTTTTGACTTACACATATCTTAAGTCATGAGAAGTATAAAATAATTAAATTACATTTTTTTTATTTCTTAACATATCTGTGTATTATTTTACAGTGCCTCCGAGCAATGCTAAATTGGAATATAAGAAGTACGATGAAGTTTCTCCTGGACGTGTTATGATGAACTGCACATCTACTGGGCTTCCAGCGCCGACCTTGCAGTGGACAGTCGGTAATGACAAGGTTAGCGTTGCAAATTATGTTAAACGCCATCTGTAATTTACTTTTTCTTTTAGATTTAGCATCCCTAATACTTAATTAATAATAAGATATTCTACAAGAGTGTCGTTACATGACAAAAGATAAGTCTTCATAGGCATTTTGTCTGCTGAAATATTATATTCTATCCACCAATGTTTGGTCTTAATTTGTACGTAGACTCAGAATGATTAAAATTCAGATAACAAATACTTTTAGCATACGCCGGTACGAATTTGTCGGATGTAAAGGATCAGATAAAGCGTTTTAAATTAAACGTAGCGTTTACGAGAGGCGTTAGGGTTGCCTTTTACTTTCTGCTCCCTAATTTATTTTCTCGCAAACCATTTATCAAAGCTTATATTAGTATGGCATGTGACGTGGGACATTTGATAAAGAATATATTCCGAATTATATACGATTGTCATGTTGGATTTTTGATTTATTTGTAAAGATAACATCAAATGTGTTTATACGAATTGTTGTGTTTTTAGTATAAAAATTATTTGAAAAACTAATAGTTTTGAAACGGGTACACTTTCTACTACAGCTAATGACTTCGATTTTATCAGGACTGAACAATTTGGGACAAAAGTTCAATAACACTTTCAACTATAAAATTGATAAACATAATTTGAATTTTGTGTAACTGTTACATTTGGCTTTTGTGGGTTATTTAATTGGGCTAATTTAACAATGTGAAAACTAATTCTTCCCTCGTTATTTTTAACACCGACAAAATCATCGTCTATCTCATAACCCCTTTAAAATACTAAGTCGACTAGATTTTGTGTGGGTGTTTGAGGCGTGAAAATTCACAGTAACGCTTCATGCTCTTGTGTTGACAGGTCCAAGCTGACTTTACTGGAAGGTTCTGGAATAGGACAACGAAGTTATGGCATGTGTGGTCGTTCTTCGCGTATACTCGGGTGGATCCATCGACGACCATTACATGTAGTCCTGAAGTAGTGACACAAGAAGAGCTGCTCAAAGGATCGCCGGCTGCATTTAGTTCTGCTAATCTATTAGGTATGTCTTCACACTTAAGGGCACAGTAAAGTTTTTTTTTATTTATTGGGGTTAAAGAACAACAGCACAATAAAAATGATACAGTAGTTTTGAGTAGATCCATCCACAACTTTACCACGTAGTAACTATAATAACAAAATAATCTATAAATAAAGTTAGTTTTTGTTGATTTTTACGTGTTCATATTCTTCGAATGCATGCGGTTTATTTGACGCTTTTGTCCGTATTTGAATAAATGATCGATTTAATAAAGTATTAGATGTAAATAATTACGCAAAATAGGGTATTCTATAGTTTTATTAGACACGAAAACCTACTTTATTTTAAGATTTCGATTCGATATCTTAGTTTTTTTATAGAATTTAATTTAGATAATGAAATATTTTCATTCGTTGTTAGAGGTATTTTCGTAACTTAATAAAGCATGTTTTGCGTAATTATCATCTAAGCTTTAATTCATCTTAAATACTGTCGCTAACGTTTTCGCCTTATTTTCTCTCGTACACTTTGTCCCCGCATTTTCGTACTCGACGCTAAATTACCAGAAAATCGTTGACGAGACAAGCCTGAGATTTGTAGTAATTTGTCGCGTAATTAAATACTAACTTCGCAGAATTTACTGTAAGGTTTTCAATTTGATAACTTAATTTTACCTACAAGATTATTAGAATTGTCAAGATATTCGACAATGTTATTATTTTTTAATTACTTGCTACTTGGGGAAAATATGGGATTATAAATTATTTTCCTCGGTTAAAAATATTAGGTTTATTAAATCTTGTCTAGCAATAAAAAATGCTAGAGTTCTTAATGACTTATAACAATGAATATGCTTTTTTAAATTGTTGTTAAACGGAACGTCTTTTACCATCGTTATTTTTTTTCAGATCCAGCCAAAACAATGATATTGCTGTTTACAATTATTGCTCTTCTTCGGTGACGTTTGAAGATTGAATATAGGAAAAGATACTTAAATGAAACAAGACATTTGATGTATATGTATTATAATTTCAGAGTTATACATAATGCTGCGGTTACACATTATATACCCGTAAACAGTAAGCGACGAAGAAAGTTACATGTGTCTCGTAAGAGATGTAACTTTATTCGTCAAATTGGGCTTGTTCCGTTTACTTAACTAAATTTACCTAACCAGGTAGGTAACAAGAATATTTTTCCGTTTTCGTAACCAGTCAAGTTTTTGCTAGGGTGGGTAAACTTTACTAGTTTCATGCCTTCAATCCCATGTAAAAACAATCATCTATCGATTTCAAGAGCAAATATATCTATTCAATATCGACCTAGATATTTTACGTTTGTTCTCGATTTTTATGTTTTAAGTCCCGGAATTCATCTTGCCAATTCCAAAATTTCTAATTTTTTATTTTTTTATACCATAAGGCGACAAACGATCAAAGTTGGGCCTTCGGCACGCAAAAATGCAAGTGTGCGGATACCAAACCGCTGATACTACTGTGAAACCACAGGGCCGATTTCACTCTAGCGGAAACCACACAGCTAATATTTGGAATTTTGGAAAAGTAATACTTTACTTAGTAATAATAATAGTAATAGATGTCCCGGAAAATAGAAAAGTATACGCATCCGGTTACGAAAACGGAAAAATATTTCTTGTTACCTAACTGGTTAGGTAAACAGAACAAGACTCAAATAGTATAATACAATTTAAATGTAGAACTAGATCGTAAAAGCTTTTAATGACACTAGCAGACTATAAATATGTATGGAAGTATAAGAAATGGATGGCCAAATTCGTTTAGCGATTGATAAACTATTTTAGAATATTAATTAGCTATTTCTTATATAAATAACTTATGTTACACATTACAGTTTTATTGGAATTTGCGATACACAAGGTCCAGTGTAACCGCAGCTTAAGAGTTATTCCCTTGAATGTTGGCAACACTGCATTTTCCTAATTTCGTTAGGAATCAAATTATGTTATATTTACTCTTTAGTGATTATGAATATTAACTATTGCAGTATTGAATATTGCTTTATGTAGTTTTGATATTATAAATGTACTTTTCAATGGCAACTCAGCCTTTGTAAACGCTTTTTAATGTTCGGAAATGACATTTTGCTGCCAAAAGAAATGCTGTGTTGCCAACATATTTAGAAAATCTTTTAAATTGCAGATTATTAAAGAAATTCTTATCGCAGCAATGTAAATTTTGATATTTTAAATTTTATTATCTTACTATTTTCATGGAGATTATTTTTCTTTACTAATGAATCAATATTTACTATATTTTTATGGAATTGAAAATTCAAAATTATCAATAAATTTAGCTAATAGTTAACATTGACAAAAATCTATGAATAATTGTTTCATAGAAGTTAGTTACCATAAGTGCGAGATTTAAAAATATTAAAGCATTTATTTAATAATAGGATGAATATGAATGTAAATAATAAAATTATTTTGGACGTATGAGGTAATTTTTTTTAAACGTTTTATCTTAAAAATAAAATAACATGACATATTGGATAATACGTAGTGTTTACAACTAAAATACATTAGGAATTGCGACTAGACAGATGTAACCGATGTAACCGCCCACACATGTACAAAAAACATTGCTTTCTGTTTTTTTCAAAGAGAATGACAAGGACGGCGTTATATACGTGTTTCTTCAGCGGTCATGAATGATTTGTACTATTTTTAAATCATAAAGTATGTAGCCATATAACTCAAGATTTTTGCAATTTTAAAATGTTAAAAATTCCATTTTGTTTAATTTATTACGATAAAATTCAATGATTTAATACAAGGACGATAATAATGGTTCGTTATCCACACCAATTAACTAATGTTAACTATCACAGTGCCTTTCTCAATTTATCTCTTTTCCTTTCTTTTTTCCTTACTATTCACTAGACTTGTAAAAGAATGCACAAATCTACACTAACATAAAGAGGAAATATTTGTATGTATTGAAATAACTCAAAAACTACTGGGCCGATTTAAAATTTTTCGCCACTAAAAAGCTATGTTATCAGTAACAGACTATAATTTAGTTAAATTTTACACGGACGAAGTCGCGAGCTACAGCTAGTGTAATATACGAGGATTGTAAGTTTGTGCATACTTTTAAACAGTAGGCGGACCCAATTTCAACCAGCTGATACAATCAGTCTCTTTTACTGCATTTTTTTAAATTTAATTAACATTTAATTTTTTGACGAAAAAAAATTGTGCGTTATATTTAAAGTAAAAAAGCACGCATGTTATTTGTAAACGATTAAATTCTACATGTAATGTTAAATTTGAAAATTACGTCATTTTAATTTGGATGGATTTTAAACAAGATTTATCAACATAATGAAAAGCCGGAGGCCTAATTTTAGTCCCTTTCCCTTTCCACCCCTTTCTTAAGAGGAAAGGTTGGGAAGGAAAAGCGGATTTGACGGTGGAGGAGACGCGTAGGAAGGGGAAATGCCCTCCTTATGAGCGTCTCCTCCTCCGTCAATTAAGGCAAAGCATCTACAATTGCAGATGTTTATGGACAGCGGTTGCTTTCCATTTCGATGGATTCAGACGGTGGAGGAGACGCGTAGGAAGTGGAAATATCATCTTTATGTGGGTCTCCTCCTCTGTTAATGAAGGGTAGGCAACGCATCTGCAATTGCGGATGTTTATGGGCAGCGGTCGCTTTCCATTTCGGTGGATTCAGGTTGCCGCTTGCTTGTTTGCCACCTTAGATTATAAAAAAAAGCTTGGATTTAATTTCTAACATTTAAGAATTGTGACTATCACAAAGGATGTCTGTTATGTTTAAAAACTCCAATTAAACTGTTGATTTTTAATTAAATTTCACTTAAAATACGGCAAGTTTCATTTAAATAGTTTGAGAACCTTATAAGTTAATACTTGAGCTTACTTATCTACAACTTTCCACATACATTGGAAGTACCTAGTTTTTAATTTGCGAACTATTCAAGACTTTTAGATTTATGACAAATGACGTAGGGCGACAAACTTATTTGACCCGATGTAAAAAAATGGGACCCACCTGCAAGCAATACCTTTCGGATAAAAAAAGAATTATCAAAATCGGTCTCCTAGCGGCGGAGTTATGCCGTAACACACATACAAAAACATACAGACTTGAGTACCTCCTTCTTTTGGAAAGTCGGTCAAAAATAACTAAATTAATCCACAGTCGCCCTCTGTTATTAAAAACATTATTGTATTGTCTTTGAAGACCCATTTACATGATGCAAGTTTTTTGCCCATTACATACAGTAAAAGTTAACTATACAAGACAATTATTGCTACACTTATTACTGGCAATGGCCAAGAAACATACATCGTGTAAATGGGCCTTAATTCTTATATCTTCTTACCGTCATTTTGTGCTTTTATTTTTTTTTATTTTCAAACAACTAACCTCGATACTAGGCTTTGACAGGAAGAAAAAAAAGTATTTTTTTAAAATCCACTTAACATTTATGACCTTGTCTAAGGACCTTTTAAATAATAAGGTTAAAAAATCAGGTTTCTTTATAATTTACGTCCTATACGGTCTATTAAATTATCTAGCGCCACTCGGCCAGTAAAGTTTGTCGCACTATACTAGGACAAAATACATTACATGAAATATTAATTAAATATATATTAATATATAAGGATATCACGTTTTAATTAGAAATACATCACTGAAGAGATCTAAAATACATATTTATACTTAAATTGTTAAGTTACATAATTGAATACAAATGCTATTGCTTAAATTACACTTGAAATGTTTTTACAAAACTTTACATAAACATACATAAGTGTAAATAAGGTACTGATTCAGAAACACGTTACTAATTAACTTGAATTTGACTAAGTTATAATAAGTATATAAGTATAACTAGAATCACTAAAAGCACTATTCAAGTATGTACTATTAACGTGACTAGACAATAAAAAATGGCTTAACCTTCAATTTTAATTGAACAGTAGGACTGTTCAGTTAGTAGTTGTTACTTGGTTAAATAAGCCATACAGTCTTCAACTAAGAAACTATATTATCATAGACATATTTAAAACTCTCAATAGATTACATTATAAAATGTAATTTAATGAAAAAAAAAACTTCTTAACATACTTATAATAACTTGTGCGGATAAAGACACTAGGATAATCGATTATTTTACATTTAAATCGAACTAATATCGATTTATACAGATAACATCGATTTTAAACAACCATTTTCACATACCAGTATTAAAAACATAAAAATAATTGGATATGTTAATATCGATTAAATAAAGCTTTAATGGAATGTTTTATTAGATATCTTTTACCGTATTTTTTATATATTAGAGCCTACTGTTAAAAAATATTAAAACGCTATTTTAACATATTGAAAATGCAAACTAGATATGACTCATAATTCAAGAGCAGTCTTTATTAATTCTACACGTAAAATATAGAGAAGTCTATTAAAACAATAACTACCATAATTTCATATTTATACACCAAACAGTTCAATTAGAACAAATATATGAAATTCTATCAATAAAAAATTAAGTAAATATAAAATCAGATTATTTAAAAGCACCATATAACGTTAAAGTAATTTTTATTGTGTTCAATATTTCAATTATTTAAACATATAAACAAATTTATGGAAATTATCGTAACTTTTACATGAAATTAATTATAAAATATTTTAAGATCAAATTTTATTGAAATATACGGAGATATTAAACAGATGGTCCTTCAAGTCGGAACTTTATAACCAAACAGAATATATCTTAACATAATACCATATATTGTTTTTACAAGAAACTGTTTTGCATCTGGAATATTGCAATTTGTATGACACAAAAAATATACATTGAAATAATTTAAAACTTTCAACGAATAAGCATGTTCAACAACTAACGTAATTTTATTTTCTATTGTTAGAGTAATTCGGTTATTTTTGGCATCTGTATGAATAACACAAATAAATCTATAGAATATTAACTTAAATATACATTTGGAAATAGACTAGATTATAAGAGAATCAGTCGGGCATGTTTCAGGGCGCCGTTTGGAGCCACGCGCGGAGTCCTTTGGCCCTCTCTGTCACTCCATCCGATGTCTCGTTTATCATGGGATCCGGCTGGAAAAACACGTTTTTATTTATTTTATTTATTTATTTACTAGATTTCGCCCGCGACTCCGTCAGAAAAAAACAGAAGTCAGTCGCCTATGTGTTCTTCCAGACTATCCTCTACGTCTATGTCAAATTTCATCGAAATCCATTGAGAGGTTTAGGCTACAAGCTCTAAGAAACATCCATCCATCCATCTAAACTTTCGAAGTATACTAAAACTAAGCTACTACAAGATTTGCGCAAGGGCGGCCTTTATTGCTAACAGCAATCTCTTATAGGCTCTCTTACATCTGTACTATATAATATTATAAAGAGGAAAGATTTGTATTTTTGTATGTATTCGATTCGCATAAAAATTACTGGGTCGATTTTAAAAAATTCCTTCACCAATAAAAAGCTAAGTTATCAGTGAGTAACATAAACTATATTTTTTTATTTTTTATTTCACGCGGACGAA